TAAATTGCTCTATTCTTAAAATACACACTATACTTTTTGTCAAATCTAAATTATTAATCTCACCTTAAATTTTAACTTGAAACAATTCAGAACAGGGGAATCTATATATATATATATATATATATATTCTTTTACTTGTGACAATTTAATCAGTAGACCCCCTTTCTCTCTTCTTTCCTAAGTATATGATATTTGTCTGGCCAAAAAAAATTACATGATATTTGATATGATTAAGCTGGACTCCACCAGCTCTATATGAAGGAGAGTATGAGTTATTTTTCTCAATTGATTAACTAAATCCTACTCTCTCTCTCTCTCTCTCTCTTTTTTTAAACTCCAGCGATTAAAATTCAACCGAGTCAACCAGGATGCACTGAGTGTTCAGAGATTGAGCTTTGCCCAACTCAAAGCTATCGGGATTAACAATTATAAAAAGGTCCCCAAAAAAAATTTCATTGTGGAGATTTTCCCGTCCCAATCAAAACCAGCGGCCCAAAAGAATACACTGACACCGTGTCCACGTCATGGTTAGTGCATTATCGTAACTAATCCAAGAGGTTCCCGAATAAGAATACACTGACACCATGTCCACGTCATGCACCACCCTGGCACCCGTTCACCTACTAAACTCCTCCACTTGGAAGTACGCCATTGCACCATTCCCTGGGCCCTTTCCAACAGCTTGAGCCCCGATTCCATGCAAATTCGTAGAGCCGAGAATATGGGTTGGGGCCTGCGGGCCAACCTACCAACCCGTCATAAAAAGAACGGGTTAGGGTTGGTATTTGCTAGCCCGCCAAGATGCGGGTTGCTCTAGCCCGCATCGCATAACCCGTGGACTGTGGTGGGCTAGCCTGCGAGTTGGCGGGTTGGCCTGCTTAACCCGCTACTTTTTTAAAAAAAAAACTTTTCATATAAATAATATGTTATTATATTTGAAAATTTTCTTTTTTTATTTACATTTCAATTTTTATGTTACATAACACATATGTAAATAAAAAATATTTTTTAAAAATAGGCATACTATAATCATAGCAAAATTTTAATGACTACAATCAAATATAAGACAATATTTATTATGGAAAAAAAGTGTTTTAAAAAACATGGTAAATGAACTTAAAATAAATTAGATAAATGCCCTTCTAATTTATTAAGAGATAGTGTTTAGTATCAAATATGACGTTTGTATGAAAAAAATTATAAAATTTATCACTTGATGAGTTGATGTTGAATGTTAATCATATTCAATACAAATAAATGATGATGGCCGTTCAATTTCCTGTTCATAAGCCGTTCAAGTGCTGTATTCGCCGTTCAATTTATGGGCTGCGTGCAAGCCATTATTGAATGATGTTTATGAGGTCTCTGCAAGCAGTCATGTGGTATTTGGAATTCAAATTCAAATCGTCTATATCCCGCGTTTTGTTAGCCAAAGATGGATATAAAATGGTCAGTACAGCGAAGCAGGGATATCATATTTCTTTCGGCCTCTGTTTCTTTCTTTTTTATCATCTTCTATATTGTTTTTATTGTTTCCTCTTGCATTTTGATTACGATAAATCATTTCTGTCTTTTGGGGAGATCCGATCAGCCTTGCAGATCTAACGTGTGCAAGAAGTGAGGCTTACATACTGGTAAAGCTTCACTGCAATTTTTCATGGAGAAGAGGCTATTTGGGCGTGGTTAGACGGAAGCTTTGAACATGTTGGCCTCTGTCGATCATTTGCTATTTCATGAAGTGATTTATGTTCTTATGATTGTATGTATTTGTATTTTTCGTCCTTCACAAATTTTGTTTACTTACCTGGTTGATTCTTCTATTTTATATGCACCCCAATGAACAGGGTATTTGGATGCCGCCAACCATGGGAGACGATGAAGTCTTGGAACGTCTGGCTTGTAAGTATATTGGTTCAATTTAATCAATTTCGGCAACTAATAAATTGTACTCATGCAAAGATGTGTTTCTTTTCCCACTCCACAATAAACCAGATTGGGCAGCTCTCCACAATTCCTCCTCATAAGAGATCACCAGAAATTGTTCAAGAATACGTCAAAAGCAAGCGGGAAATACCAGTTGAAGCATTCAGGGGAGGCTTCATCTTATCAAAAGTAGCGAGTCCTTGGTCAACTGGTGAGCTCAAGCTGATCAACACCAATGTAGAAGACAACCCGTCTGTGACCTTCAACTACTTCAACCATCCATATGATGTTCAGCGTTGTTGTTTGAGGGCATTCGAATAGCAACTAAGGTTGTACACTCGGATCGATTCACGAACTACACTTTGTGTGACAAAGAAAGCACTGAGACACTTCTTAACCTCACTGTGAAGGCTAATGTCAACCTGGTACCCAAGCATGTCAATGACACAAAGTCACTAGAGCAGTTCTGCAGAGACACTGTGATCACTATTTGGCATTACCATGGTGGGTGCCATGTGGGGAAGGTGGTTAGCCCTGATTATAAGGTTTCTTCGTGTTGATAGACTCCGTGTGGTGGATGGCTCAACGTTTACTGAGTCACCAGGGACTAACCCTCAGGCCACTGTGATGATGATGGGCAGGTATGTGAAAGCAACATCATTACACGGCGCGGTTACTGCCTGCTCCACCGATGAGGAGAGGAGGGTTTTTAGGGGAGGGGTCTGGTGCCGAGGCTACTCGTGAATCTCGAGAGGCTTTCAGCCGTTGAATTTGAAACTTGTAATTTGTATGTGATGCTGTTTGGCACGAGGAAAGCGTAGCAAATGTGAGTGTACAACGATGAGTTTATGGCTGAAGCAGGGAAGATCGATTGCTCAAACCAGTAAGCAGCTTTCATGAATTAGATAACGCCGTCGTGCTTCGGGGGGTCACTGCCAAGAGAACTGCGATGAGAAGGAAATTTGTAAAGTTTCTTGTTGCCGCCATGGTTTGGCTGCAGATTTTTGTGATGATGGGCAAGGCTAGCTTCTTGAGGTCTCTATATAAAGACTGAGGAGGTTTTAATTCTGAAGAATTGTTGCATGACATGACGTGTTTTCTTCTTGGTCTGAGGAGTTTATCCATGAATATAACTGACTAAAATATACTTCCTCCTCCATCCCCGTCCTAAATAAAAAAGTTACGAGAACTATCTTAGAAAATAAATAAATAAATAGAAGAGACAAATGGATTAAAGTCTTATATTTATTTAGAACAAAACTAAAAGTCAAACAGAATCCTGTTATATTAAAGACCGGAGGTAATATGAATTTAGTTATAGCTGTCATCATATGCAGAAATTGGTTGTCTTACCTTAAAAGATTCTTTCTGAAGTCTGTCTTGTATGAATTGTGGTTATACAAGGCTAGACAAGTGTGAGGATCTTCACAAGGCCGTCCGTGGTAACCCTTTGGTGTTAGTTTGATCCATCTGAACAAATATCCCCGGGGAATTTTTAATCAGGCCTGCCCGTCGAAATTCTAAATCCTGAACTGAATGAATTGTCAAATGTGGTTGGATTTTCCGGAATTCCAAGGGGCTAAGCGATGGATGTAAGAGTATATATATATATATATATATATATATATTTGGTGGTGAAGAGATGTAAGTATATATTTTAACACTTTGCTAGAAATTGCACGGTTTGAAGGAAATATTTTAATTAAATTTTGGCCGGAAACAGGGATAGGAATAGGTTCAAGAATCAAGATTCATAAAACGGCCGAAACAGGCCTTTTCGGGCTGTAGTAATTGATTAATGTATAGCGAATTCTATTTAGTTGTCAGAAGGCATGTTTCGATGCAGAGTAAACTCCTATTGGCAGTAATTTATGTTTGACATATATGATTGCACCTATTTTTTCCCGCCTTTGATTTTGGACTGAACGCATCAGATATACTTTATGAATTTATTTAGATCAACATTGATTTTCTTTCAGGTTGGCCTTTGCTCATTCAAAGGGTGATGAAACAAAAGTTATAAAATTTATACACGGTTGCTCTTGGGATGGGCCAAGCAAACTTCCAAGAACAATCCAACTTGGTATAAATACTACCATAAAGAAACTTCATTTCACTATCCTGCTTCGATGTAGCTTGACCAGGTTAGCCAATTGCTTATTTATGAAAGTTTAAGCTGTTTTCATTCATGGCTATATTAGAATATTGTTAGTGCCAGTTTGTGTTAAACAACTCCAATGTTCAATGAGGCGGTACGAAAGAACTTGTTCGGCTATTTGCTTTGCTTGTAAGCATAGGAGGTTATGGCAACTCTACAATTGCAAATTATTTTATTTTGTGGGAAATAGATAACTTGATCTTTAGTTGAGGTCGTGTGTTTTTTTTTTTAATCAAAATATGAGCATATAGGCTTCCTGCCATGGACAGATCTAGAAGTGATTACTTGGGAGATGAAATTTAAATTAGCATGTTAATTAATGCAGAAATATACTACTGCCTCTTATCTCTAATATAAAACCTAATTAACTAATTTGAAAAAATTAAGAAAGCTAAAAAAAATTAATTTAAAGTATTTATATTTATTATTTTTGTTCCAAACTAATTTGTTTTACTTATAAATTTAAACTAATATAATCTAATGATGCACATAAGTATTTTAGAGACATCATGTAACGTATGTTATAACTAAGACCCTTTGGTCCAAAATATAAAATAAACTTTGTTGGAAGGTTTTAGTTTTTGTTTTATATAAGATAGCATTCACTTTTAAGTATTTAATGATTTTTTTTTAATTTTACTCGTAACATATATATTTTTTCTCTTTGATTCATTTATTACATCTTTTACTTTTTTTCTTCATTAATAAAGGCATTTGGGGGGAAAAAATACATGCATTACATATTTATTATTTTAAACTGATTTTAACTAATTTCTTGATAAATGCAAATGGATAAAGTTTATCTTATATTTTGAACCGAAGGGAGTAATTATTTAACCCCTTCAATCTCTCAAAAATAGCTAATTGATTTTTATATTAAGAACCGGAGGTAGTATTAGAATATGCCACATACTTTTTTTTTAAAATTATCAAACTTGAGCAATTTCTTTTTAAAATATAGCAAAATAAATCTATATGAACCTCTTAGTAATCTCTTTACTATATAAGTAATCATGCAATTTGCATGAATTCTCATCTTCTATCTTATTCCTAAAGTTATTATTTATGACATTTACAGTTGAAAATGATTTCTCATTTGTTGTATTTGAAATTAGGAGAATTAATGGTAACGAAAGCAAATGATGGTCGGATGATATACAGGATTTATTCAATTGTTTGGTGATGCTTCGCATGATTGAGAGTTGTTGAGATGTTTTTGAAATTAGGATATTGAGAAATGTCGACCTCATAATATCTTTGCTTCTATGTTGAAATGTGGCTCCTCTTCTTGAATGAAATTTACTCTAACGGAATCTCTATACCAATTCACAAATATGATCATAACTTGTAATCATCTCTTAGAATTAAGTGTCAATCACTCCACTGGGGTCTCTGATTCATTTTTGGTGATTGAGCATTTATGGTAGATTCATAGCGATGAACAAGTTATCATGATAATGATGCTCATTTCAAACATGTTCAAGATTTGAAAGAGGTTTACCTCGTCCAGGTATTTCTGTGCTTAAAAACACGTCAAATATCAATATGATGCTTTGGATAGAAAGATATATTCTCTCCATTCGAAATGATAAGACATTTTTTGCTAACTTCCACCCCTCCAGAAAATAGTCAAACATCATTAAAACTTGCCTACTCTTTTTATGTCTACCTTATTAATGGGTAATTTAATCACAAGTAAATTACAAAAATGTCTTATATTTTTAGATATGGAAAGAGTAGAAAAATGTCTTATAATTTCCAACAGTGGGGGGGCGTAACTCGTAAAATGTTTGCAATCAGATCTTTTCATATGAACCCTTTTCAGTAATAGATGCCAAATTTTGAATATAAAAAAAAAAAAAAGATACCAAAGTTTTTTACTCGTGTCTTTTTTCCTATCTACACTCTTCTCTCTGTGAGGATCCCCATAGAGCTGCATTGAATTGTGATGCCGCCGTCCTGCTGCTTGAATATGAATGTGTTTGACCAGTTATGTTATATGTAAAGAGCTAAAAAAGTCAGGAGATAAATGTGTTTCATTTTTGTTTTAAAAAAAAAAAAAGGAAGGGGAAAAAAAATAAAAAGAGGGAGTGGGGTTTGGAAGGGCGTTTAAAAAGGATGGAGAAAGTTTGCAGAATCAGAAGAAGAGTTTTTGGAGCATGAATGAGTGTGGAAGATATGGATACATTAAATAAAATTAAAGTCAAGTTATATTTCAAAAATTTATGAGCTACATAAATGTTGTATCAAAAACCAAAGGATATTGATGCTAGATATGAGATTTGGCACCGGAGGTAGGATAATAATGTATATACCACTTAAAATGAATATATTAAGAATATATATCTGAATTAATAAATATAATATTAGATAAGAATTGATAGCTTTTAAAATCAAGATTCAAGGGAATGAAAAAAGAATAGATATAAAAAGAATATGATTAATATTATTATTTAATTATTTATTATTTTAAAATAATAAGCTTAAAATCAGTAATTAATATATATATATATATGATGTATATTAAGGAATTTAAAATATTGTTCTATCAATGTGGCAATAATGCGTCGCTTTTATGGTAATAATGTATTAATAGTAAGACTTTAGCCAAAGCTCACTATAAATTCAAAATTAATTCCTGAATGAAAAACCTATAAGGATATTAACACAAGTTGACAATAATTGTGAAAACTATGTTTTCCCAAATTATAATAATCAAAATAATGATTTATTTATAGAGATTATTAAAAAAAATGAATGCTTACATAAATTCGAATTAAACAAATATGTGTTTTTTTTTTTGGAGATGGTTGGCATCTCCTGCCAGTCTTCGGCTTTCTGTTACCACATGTCTAGTAAGATTTGCCCATTTTAGTGTATTTCTTACCCTACTTAATTGTATATTACCTCTCTATAAGACACAGTTGACTAATTTAAAAAAATTAAAATAATTAAATAAATCATTTAATTATATATATGTTACATGATCTTTTTAAAATGTTGATACATGTCGTTAGATTACATATTAATTTATAGGTCAGAAAAATTAATTTAAAAATATATAAATATAAATATTTTAAAGTAATTTATTTAACTTCTTTAATCTCTTTAAATTAATTAACTGAACCTTATATTAAGAATTCGAATTGAGGTGATATATACTTTTTTTGAAATTTAAATATAACTGTCAAAACATGTAAAATAAAACCATTTTAAAAAACTAAAAACTGATCAGCTCGGGAGGTTTCCTGCCCATGACCAGTCGGTAGCTTGCCAACTGCATTGTGCAGCTATATTTATTTTTTAATTAATTGTTCACAAGCAATGGTTAAATATGAATAATATATTGATATTGATTATTTTATATACACACACATCTATGTATGTATATGTATCCATGTATACACGAATCAAACATGTAAACTAAGTGGGTTGACTCGTTAACTCACAGAGTTACATAATAAGCTAAGTTTAAAATAATTATAATGAAAATGTTATTGTGAGTGAATGATAAATTTAAGCATGCCAAATTAACAGCTTAAAAGTGGAAGGACTCTTTTCATTTTGACTACTAAGTTCTCTTTCCAACGTTTCCCTTGTTAGGGGGAAAAAATCTTTCTCTTTCACTAGATGTTCCCTCTGTTAAGATTACCCTAAATTAGATAATTGAGCTGGCTTTATCTCATTTGCTTGCAATGTACACATATTTACAAGAATACTACATCAAATTAATTACAAAAAGTAATGTCTGTGAACCTAAGAACCCAATCACTAATTTAAGCATCATTTATGGATCCTCAGATCCTGCAGTTAAGTTTTGACTCTTACCTGGGCGTTATTTGGGAAATTGAAGCATCGTTTATGGAACAACTTCCTTTCTGTGACTGTGATGTTGAGGAATTAACTGAACCTTATATTAAGAATTCGAATTGAGGTGATATATACTTTTTTGAAATTTAAATATAACTGTCAAAAGTAAAAAAAAAACCATTTTAAAAAACTAAAAACTGATCAGCTCGGGAGGTTTCCTGCCCATGACCAGTCGGTAGCTTGCCAACTGCATTGTGCAGCTATATTTATTTTTTAATTAATTGTTCACAAGCAATGGTTAAATATGAATAATATATTGATATTGATTATTTTATACCACACACATCTATGTATGTATATGTATCCATGTATACACGAATCAAACATGTAAACTAAGTGGGTTGACTCGTTAACTCACAGAGTTACATAATAAGCTAAGTTTAAATAATTATAATGAAAATATTATTGTGAGTGAATGATAAATTTAAGCATGCCAAATTAACAGCTTAAAAGTGGAAGGACTCTTTTCATTTTGACTACTAAGTTCTCTTTCCAACGTTTCCCTTGTGAGGGGGAAAAAATCTTTCTCTTTCACTAGATGTTCCCTCTGTGAAGAGTACCCTAAATTAGATAATTGAGCTGGCTTTATCTCATTTGCTTGCAATGTACATATATTTACAAGAATACTACATCAAATTAATTACAAAATGTAATGTCTGTGAACCTAAGAACCCAATCACTAATTTAAGCATCATTTATGGATCCTCAGATCCTGCAGTTAAGTTTTGACTCTTACCTGGGCGTTATTTGGGAAATTGAAGCATCGTTTATGGAACAACTTGCTTTCTGTGACTGTGATGTTGAGGATCTGTCTTCTAATTTTTCATTACTTTTTGTTGAGAAAGCTGGCTTTTTAGGCAAAGGAATTGCCTCAGTTTCATTCTTAAGCATGGAAGAAACCTCCAGCATGGATGGCCTTTCTACTGGATTTTCCTGAACGCAGAGTAGGGCAACATGCAAACATTGCAGAAGTTTGCAGGAAGAAGATGAATCTTCTAGAGATGGATCAACAAATTCCAAACCTTTACCCTCTTTCCACAAATTATAAGCCTGTTAGGATTCAACATCAAATTATTGATCCTGTTTATGTGTTTCAAAAGCAAAGCTTCAATGACTTTTGTTTTGGGGCCCCCCGGGAGGGGCCTAAAGGGAAGTTCCTGAGAAACTACTTACATATTCAAGAATGCTCAAGTTCTCATGAGTGCCATAATAGCTAGTGTTCCTCTTGCCACTGATGATTTGCAAAAGCAGTACTCCAAAGCTATAAACATCATACTTCATTGAGTATGTGCCTTTTCTGACATATTCTGGAGGAACATAACCACTGAATTTTGTATACAAGTAACTGTTTATAAAACAAGATGATCTTAGAACATAAGGTACTTTACTTACTATGTCCCAACGATTCGCCCAGTATTTGCTTCAACTTCATCTTTTCTAAAAAGTTTAGCCATACCAAAATCTGATATTTTTGGATTCATCTTATCATCAAGCAAGATGTTGCTAGCTTTTAAATCTCGATGAATTATTGTGAAGTTTGAAAATTCTTGGAGATACAGAAGCCCTTGGATAATTCCTTCAATAACATGAACACGCTTCCCCCAATCCAATAGGTGCTTTCTTATTGGATCTGCAAGGAGTTGTAGTGATGATTCAATTAGCTTTTGATCAGTAATCCAAGTAATCCAAAAAAAGATATTAGTTCAGAACGGGCCAAAAGAACAAACATTTGGGGTTTCTGTTGGCTTAGTCCCTTTTTTTTTTTTGGGGCCGAAATTGGCTTAGTCATTTAACACAACTTTTTGAGTCAAAACTCTCATTGTAATGTCAACTTTAGAAAATTAAACAAGTTTTGGGATCTAATAATGATGGAGGAACCCTAGGGAGCGTAACAGATAATGCACTACACAATAGACTCTGGTTCTGAAATGCATATTAAACAACCGAAAAAGCAAAGATTTTTGATACCGTAGAGGTAGAAATCCAAGCTTCCGTTAGGCATGTACTGATAGATTAGAATTTTTTCTTCTCTCTCATTGCAGAATCCCAAAACTCTAGCCAGATTGATATGCTGAAGCCTTGCAGTAAGTGAAACCTCATTTGTAAATTCTTCATGTCCTTGGGTGGAAGCTTTCGAAAGTCTCTTGACTGCAATTTCTTGTCCTCCTGGTAGTTCTCCCTGAAAACAAACTACGGATTTTCAGTTGTGGAGAAATAAATTACCTAAGAAATGAGGATGAAGGTGATTTCTTAAGATAAGAATGCCTCAACATTATTGAAGCTGATATTTGAAATTGTACGTATACTATTGCTCTTCTGTACATAATTTGACCAATATCTTGATTTTCTCAAAGAGAGAAGTTTAGCTTGTTTGAAATCTCAGATATTCTATAGAAAGGGCCTAAAATTATTGCCTTCTAATCAGGAAAAAATTTTCCCCTGGTTTGCGGAGAAAAAGGAAGTGTCTCTCTTCAAATCTTGTACTTACATTGCCAACCAATTATTTTTCTTTTTTTTTTTTTTTTTTTTTTTTTTTTAACTTCTCAGTTTCCTCTATCTACATGAACTTCCACAAATTTCATCCTTTTACATTCATACATTCACGCGTTTAGAAAGAAAATGAGATTAAAAAAACGTGACTATAAACAAGAACTGTATGCCATTTTTACACTTGTAATTAGAAAACATAGCTTCTTTATCAAGAATATCTTACAGAAACACATGTTCAAAGGACCAAATCTATCACCTTGTAAACAGAGCCAAATCCACCCGCTCCTAGCTTGTTTTCTACAGAAAAGTCTTTTGTTGCCGCTCTTATGACGGCAAAGCTAAATTCTTCAAGATGTGGAGCACTGGCTTCAATGCTCTCAGCATGCGGCATGGGACCTTCTGGTTCAGACAGCAAACTTTTGCCAAACACCATCTTCACTGTAATAAATGGAGAAGACGGAAAGGTCTGAACGTTAATTCTCTTCATACCAGTACTTAGTAAAAATAACCAGAACATTCAAATTTAAATTATTGATTACCTTTTGATTTGAATGACTTGCTTCTGAAGCAGCACAGAAGAAAGACTCCCAATGTTATGACGATTGCAACTGGAAGTAAAATAATAAGTAATAGCCTCCGTCTGTTTCCCTGA